AAAATACAAAGTGGTTTGTAGGAGTGGACCCAGAAGGAAATGTGTGTGTGATTTATAGAGGACTGTTGCTGTGCAAAAGGAAAGAGATAACACCTTCTCCTAACTGTTATCTTACAATGCTCTCATAAGGAGCAAGAGCCTCATTGTTCAAATACGACCTTGGCAGGAAGCTACCTTGGCAGGAAGCTACCGTGGGATACAACAGGTTGAGCTGACTGAACAGTTTTCCTTAGTATAATATCATCATTTGGTTTTACCATATAAAGTAATGTAAGAAATTGCCACTAAATTCTGTAGTGATCTCTACAATAAAACAGCTAGTGGAGGACGTCCAAAGATATGAATAGGAGGCTGTGCAAAACATTTTTAAACTTGTTTAAAGGTGGGGTAGGTAAGTTTGAGAAAACCTGCTCAAGATACACTTTTTGTTATATTCCATGGAATGCTCTTAACATCCCGATAGCAATGAATATCTTAAGTGCTTTGACAAAAAATACATCAAAAAATGTCATCTGTGGAAGCCGTAGAGCTGTAAAAATCACGACCAATCATTTTAGCCGGCCGGGCTAAAATTACTGGATNAAAGGAAAATCACTCTGATGGCGTGTGCAGGCTAAGCGAATCATGCCATGAGAAGGAAACGTGCTTTGAGAATGTCTTCCACAAGCAACACTCCATTGGCTGATAGCTCCAGTACCGCACAATACATGTTTTCGATGGACGAGAGTGAAAATGGAACGCACACGCTATTTGTTGTAGTAGGTTAGTTTGAGAAACCAGTTCGAGATACACTTGTTTTTATATTCCATGGAATGCTCTTAACATCCCGATAGCAATGAATATCTGAAGTGCTTTGACAAAAAATACATCAAAAAATGTCATCTGTGGAAGCCGTAGTGCTGTAAAAAGCACGACCAATCATTTTAGCCGGCCGGGCTAAAATTACTGGATGGCCTACCTGCCTGTCAGCCTTCCATCTGTGCACAAACTTGTCTCGTGCCCTCATTGGTCATGTGCGTGTTCGTGTGTGTTGGAGGAGGGGCTTTGTAAGGAAGTGGCAAATTTTTTACGGCTGTGTATTTTCATATTCTAGCGCACTCGAGGTCTGGTTTCTCCAAAATTACCTACCCCACCTTTAATAAAGAAAAACAAATGGACGGTAGATACACAGATTTGGGGCCAGAGGTGTGATAAGTACTCAGATCTTGTACATAAGTAAAGGTAGAAATACCAGAAGAAATTTTTTAAATGTTCAATCTATTACATTTTGGTTGAAAAGACAAAAAATACTTTATAGGTAGGACATTTTGAGGAATCAAAGCTATGTTTATCATAAGCAAGTTGTTTTGTAAAATGTAAAGTTTGTTGACCTTATGTAGTAAAGCTTCATCTAAAAAATGTGACAACAGTGCAATTATACCAAAAGTAAAAGTACTCATTATGCAGATTGTCCCATTATACAACCATATATTATATGTTTTTAATCATAATTATTGATGTGTATATAAAAGCTGTTAAAGGTGGAAATAATTGAAATGACTTTATCTTCTGCTGGGTAGCATTTTAATTTAACTATACAACTTTTGTTATAAAAATTGTCAAAAGTGTATAAAGTGCAAGCAGTATATTAATGTTGCTGCATCTACAAAATCAATCAAATGTGCCTATTAAATAAATAACAACATTGTTATCACATGAACAAAATAAAACTGTATTGAATTTTTTTTTCATGATAAAGAAATAAATGATTTGAATTATTTAGATTAAGGTACAGCTGTACAGCTAGGCTGTGTCCAGTATTGTAGCTGCATGATGTGACACGGTACAGTCCACTAGGGAGCGGTATGGACGTCTAATGAGGGTAATCTACCAATATCTAGCTAAAGAAGAAGACCTGCGCACGTCCATCACAACATAGCAAGCACGTACGCTATTGCAGTTATTTTAGTTTTGATTACTACAAACTTTAATCTAAAATGCCACCGAAAGGAAAAGGTGGCAAAAAGGGCGAAAAAGGTTAGTCCGCTATGTTTGGAAAATAACGTGTTACCACTGCTGTTGGCTTAAAGTCAGCCACATTAACTAGCCTGTTGAAGCAAACGACTATTAATATAACATACATTTATCTCACTAAATATAAAGTCTTTATATTTATCGCTGCAATTGTGTGTTTTGGTTTTGAATTGGTTTTAACTGTGGTAGTGTTCTGACTCGTTTTACTGTGTAGGAGCAGCTTCAGGAAGTGCAGACGCTGATAAGAAGGAGAAAGCACCAAAGGGAGGCACTGCTGTGAAGGTATGCAGATGGGTGTCTGTCTGCCCTGCCCTTCATCATACCTTAATTACGTGTTTAGACGAGAAGGCTGAAAATAAATGATTTAGTTTAATTAATCGGTAACAGATTATGCACTTAGGCATCATTTATGATAAATAAAATAGGAGGTGAATCAATGAAGAGCATATATACACCTTTTTTCAACTTTTAAATGTTTTCATGTATATAATGATGACGATGTTTGTCACAAGCTATCTTTCAGGCATCTTGTTTTATCTCCAATGGGATGCTTTATCTGCTTTCTTACGACAGCGAATAAACCAGAGTTTATTTCTAGAAGTCTAACTGCCTTCTATGACCTGTATATAAACCCAGGTTCGCCACATCCTCTGTGAAAAACATGGGAAATGCATGGAGGCAATGGAGAAACTGAAGGCTGGAGTCCGTTTCAGTGAAGTAGCATCACAATTCAGTGAAGACAAAGCAAGACAAGGAGTAAGAACACGCACCCAACTTAATTCAAATGATCCCATTATTGACTATAAGACCTAACTTCAATGTTCTTTGTTTGTTAATGAATGTACATCACATTATTATGACTGTATTTAATTCAAGACTAAATTCATCCTTATTGGTGGTGATAAATATCGAAGATTATAAATATGATCTACGGGCTTCGACCTCACAATTAGTCTTCATAGGTGAATAATTTCAGACTGGCGAATAGTCCCCAATACCCATTATACAAATAAGACGAAATGCGCTATTTTTTTAATCAATTCTTTACATATTTCACATGAATTCACAGCAGAACATATACAGTGTGTATAAGCTGTTACTCAGTGAAACCATGTGCATTTTTTATTTGTTTGAAGCAGAACTGTACAAACAGACTTTTGCCTTAAATCCTTATCTGTGACCTAAGCATATTTGTAAGGCTTTTAGTTAAAAGCCTTAAAAATATGTTGTTTTGGAATTCCTGCATTACTCAAAGTTGCTACTGTTATCTCTCGAACCCCTTTGTTTCTCATGTCTTACTTAAATGTGTCCAGGCTTGGCACTAATGTCTGTTGCAAACGTTGTGTTTTATTAATGATTGTATTATTCATGACAGGGTGATCTGGGGTGGATGACGCGAGGATCAATGGTTGGACCTTTCCAGGAGGCGGCATTTGCCCTACCTGTCAGTTCTATGGATAAACCAGTCTACACAGACCCTCCTGTCAAGACAAAGTTTGGGTACCACATTATTATGATAGAGGGGAAAAAGTGACGTGGGACTGCTCAACTATTCTACAGTGTTGGGTTTTTATTATCCAGAATGTTTAAGAATAAGAAAATGATATGATCCTCACGTATAAGCTTTGTCTTATAAACACTACCTTATTGTCAAACTTACCTGAAGGAACATTCTTGCAATCTTAAACTTGACATTTAATTCGATGGATTTTCATTTTCAGTTTGATAAATGGCTAAATAAATACACTCAAAAATACTCGCTTTGTGTGTGTGTGTGTGTGTGTGTGTGTGTGTGTGTGTGTGTGTGTGTGTGTGTGTGTGTGTGTGTGTGTGTGTGTGTGTGTGTGTGTGTGTGTGTGTGTGTGTGAAAGAGATAGAAGTGTCAACCTTTCAGTGATGCAATGGTTTTTTTTTTTAAATGAAACTGGCGTATATACTATATATTACTGTTTCTGTATTTTGGAGATAACTTAGTCAACTGTAAGCGCTAACTAAAAAGTAGACCATTGCTCGGTTGCTTTAGCGTCACTACAGGAACACAAATCACAAAGACTCAAAACTAAGCTACCCTTCTATAAAGCAGCAGTGGGTAGCAATTACTAAATTAATAATCGCCCATTTTCATCTTCATCATAGTTGCGCTGAAGTACTTATACTTCCCCTTGGACATTAGCCATTTCACCGACTGTTTTTTCTTTATTCTTGGAACCATACAAGTAATCGGAGGTGGAAGAAGTACTCAGATCTTGTATTTAAGTGCAAATAGAATTGCCAAAGTAAATATCCTGTATTTTAAATATTACTCAAGTAAAAGTACAAAAGTAATAGCATCAAAACATACTTAAAGAGCAACTTGCAGGTTTTTTTTTAACTACATTTATGCTCAACCTTGCCTGAAAATTACATTTAAAAATGTTAATGCAGGATTTGATATGTTTTACAAGACATAAGGGCAGGAATTCAGAGGAAAAGGAGCCGTTTTGAGCTCTGCTACTAAAAACTGCTTTTTTTAACGTCATACGTCAATCATATTACGTCACATGGGGAGCAACTTTCTCGGGTTGCGTTCGAATAGTCCATTTAGCTTAGGAACCCTCCTAACCGAGTGAAATGACCCGGAAGTCCCTCAGTGGCAGCCATGCCATAAGTGCCGTTCGAATTCTCTAGAATGATAGGAAAGGAGGTTTCAAACTTCATTTATAACCTCCTTTAGCTTAGGAACCANGCCGCAGGTGTTTTAATGTTTCATTACCATATGTAAGGGTTCGTGCACAGAGGGGATTGTCGGGAAAGAGATGGCTGTTTGAGGAAGCTCCCATTTATTAACATTTCAACAAACAAGTTGCATATTTGCATAACGTATTCAAGTGTTACCATTTAGTGCAATAGTAGCTACAGAACATGTACTGTGCTGTGTAAAAACTGTACTGTATCACATAGCGTTTCAGACACACAAACTTTTCAACTTTCAAACTTAAACGGTGCGCTCCCAGCGCACGTACCGGCAGTGATCTACAGCAGCGGTTTTCAACCAGTGGTACGGGGACAAACTGTCTCGCTCTCGTAATGTCTGTCTGTCTGTCTTGCTCTCGTTCTGTCTCTCGTACCACTCTCGGTTCCACTTTTACTTTTGCGCGCTACCTGTCTCACTCTTTTCCGGCCTCCAGCTTTTCCTGCTGGAGCCCGCCGCTTAAAGGTGGGGGGCGCGGACCGGCCATAGAGCCCATAGAGTTAAAGGTGGTGGACTGTAACCTGTAAAATCCATAGATTTAGGAGGTCCCCTAGTGGCCCTTAGCTGTAAAAATCCATAGATTAGCCGCACCGTTATATAAGCCGCAGGGTCGAAAAATGGGGAAAAAGGCGCGGCTTATAGTCCGAAAATTACGGTAGCTTTTATCTTTTAAAGTGATGCATGCTATGCATCAATCCATTGAAAATTTTTTGATTAATTGTAGTGTTTAAAATGTCAAGAAATTGTGAATTGTGAAGAAAGTGCTTGTGTTTTCAGACCGACATAAAAACAACAAAAATGAGTTTGACAGAGAGATAGGAAAGCATTTAGCAGTGTTATACAGGTGTTCAGAGATTCATTAGTTTACCTGGGGTATGCTGATTCCTTTCCTAATCTGCTCCTGCTCCCAGCGGCTCGACTCCTCATCCTGACCTGTATCCAGCGCCTCGTCATCGCTACCCTCAATACCTGTACGTGTGAAGGGGATGTTCAGGTATTTGATTACATACTGTTATCAATTTGTCTCAAAGAACAGTCAGTGGAACTTTTGACTGTACCTATTTCTTCAGCGATCTTTTGTCTCTGGGTTATGTTCTTGACTCCGCTGAAGCGAATCCTCTTCTCATCCTCGTCTTCGTCGTCGCTGGCGTCTTGGTCTTCTTGTGCCATACGCTTTTTGGGATTCTCCGTCTCTACCAGAGGCGGTTCCCCCCCCTGTTCTCTGGCCTGTTGCCGGCGCTTTCTGGCAGCGTGGATAAATGCCGCATCGGGGATCTCCCCTAGAGTAAACACAACAAAAAGCGTGTTACAAGGATTCAAGGCTTTTGTTGTCATAGTTACAGTGTAGATATGTCAAGGAAAAACGTAGGTCAAAGGCTCCTCCAACAGTGCAACACAATAAAACAGATAGAATAGTGCAAGTAAATACAAATAAAGTGCAAGAAGAATCTATATACAAGTAAATGGAATATGCCATCTTAGATAAATAATTTGTAAGTTGCAAACAGACTTTCAAAAGTTTAGGTGTCATTGCTGATTGATAAAAGAAACTGAACAAGCATTTAAATGAGAGTTAGTGCATGCGTGTGTGTTTATGTAGCTACCTGGTTTCAGGCTGCCCAGAGATGAAAGAGTGTTGAATGATGATGTAGTGACGTTGCTCTTGGACACTTGACTTTGTGCCTGGCCAACGTGACTCTTTGCCTCCTCCTGCTGCTGCTGTTGCTGTTGCTGTTGCTGCTGCTGCTGCTGCTCATCAGTACTGTCCACCTCCATCTCTTCCTCCCCCTGTTCACTGCCGGTTCTGCTGATAACTTCCTCTTTGATTGAAACCGCAGGCTGAAATGGAGCATCTAGAAAGAAGAAGAAAAAAAAGGTGCAGAGAAAGGTGAGCTTTAATAAATGTACTCAGTAACCATTTAACTGCTGATATGGGTGGATGATGTTATGCTCCGTTTGACAGGGCAGGTCTATCATTTGGATAACCTGATGGCATTAAGACAATTGGAATTGTATGGGTAATTCAGATAGGATTCATATTCGAGGATGACAATACTCTGGGAAAATGCGCTGAAAACATGTTTAACAGTATAACTACAAATACCTTAGATTTCATTAGGGAGGCAAAAATAGATAATTCTCACTATGTATCTATATGCAATATGGTGCATATTGTTGTAAAACTACATGTGCCGCTTAACACAAGGAGGTCCTAGTATTTGCTTAGATATGCCCTAATGTCACAGTTAAATTATATTTAAACAAAACTTTCCGATAAGCGTCTTTATATCGTTACACTGTTACATTTTTAAGTGATCCACGTTTCCTATGCAAAGTCAGTTGGTGGGTTAGAGTATTGATGGGACAGCATAGATGACAGTTGAATATCCCACCTGATTTGTGTTCCTGTTTGACTCCAGACTTCTCCAAATCCTCCTTATATTCTTTCTTCAGCTGTTTGACAATCTTCTTACTGTGAGTGGGCTTCTTCACTCTGAACACCTCGGATTCATCTGTTTACAAACATGACATCATGTGGTAAAGATAGCGGGAAGTCGCGTTAACTATGCACATCAAACAGGTTCAGTTATAAGTAGTAATTTAGCTAACGTATATAGTTTGTATTTAAAATGTCTGCATTGTAAAACAAAAAACAAAAAAGGCAACGTTAATATCTAAACATGAGGACCACAAGCATTCCTAAGCTAACCAGCTAGCTAACTTAGCACTGGTTTTCCCAGTTAGCTTACCTTCATCATCGTCGAAACTCAGCAAACTGGCTTTCGTGGGTCCAGGCACCGTAGCTGCAATGATAGGCGTATCTTTAACCTTCTTCTCTTTCTTGATAGCTCTAAACGTGTTCACGTTGGCCGGAAACCCGTTGCTGTGAAATCTATCGCTGCTAATAGTTGCTGCTGTAACGCTGATGGAAGTCTCCATAAACGGGATTTCCTCCACGGCAGGCCCGCTGGATATCGGCGGCACTGACCGACCCTCCTCCGGTTCTTCCTCGTCGGATTCATTCCTCCGTCGGAAGTTAGCTCGTTTCGCTTTCTTAAACATTATTCCTCTTTGCTAAATGCAACAACTCATGATTTCAACCAAGGGTTCTTTAAAGTTGTGCTCTGAGCAGAAGGAAATTGTCCCCGCACTGCCAGTCAGCCATTTTCTAAATGTGTCTTCTTCTGCAATATTTAAAGATGAACATGTGCATCTCGCGCATCATACTGACCCCAGCTGGTCAAAACTGATACAGCTATGTATATCAGTAATGACGTACACAACAATTTACTGACTGAACAATAAATAAATCGGAGTGCCATTTACAGGCATCCCATGACGGAAAGTACATGGAGTACATGTGCTGACTGCTGATGAAAAGTGTTGTTTTTAAAAGTAACTTTTTATTGAGTCTATGTGTTTGTTTGTGGGTTCAACTTATAAAGCCACACAAGGGTGGGGCATGAAATCATTTGTAAAACGAATTTGTACTGTATATTGTAAATACAAGTTTAATTGTGTCTTTCAGAATGCTGAAGCCCTGGTAAAAGACACAGATCCTACCGGCGTCCAGCAGGACCACATGGAGAGCCTCATGGAGTACGACTGATTGGGGTATTTTGTAAATAAACATACTAAAATTCATCACGTCTCATAACTTCTTTCCGACTGTTACGTGGCAGATGAATTAACCCCCTTTCATCAGGGGGGTCTGTGGGACATTTATTACAATAGCCATGTTCACAATATAGCAAAGGTGTTTTTTGTCCCTGATGTTCAGGTAACCTTACAAAGCAATCGTAGAAAGAGCAAGAAGAGATGCATACATTACAACACCCGGGTGTAGTGTAGCCTACATAGCTACAGTGCTTAAGATAAGATTTGCCTGTATACATCCACAATAGGGGAATTACAATTTGACGCAGCAGCACAAGGGAATTAGTTATCAAAGAAAGATTTCCATAAATATCTATCCAAAACAGTATCTATACTGTTTTGGATGTATAGGTAGGCTATTTATGGAAATGTTTTCTTTGACATTACACATTAGATCTAATGTGTAGCACATGTGTAAATAGCAGTGTTAGCTGGACACTTGGGTGTAAATGGCACTGTTAACTACAGATAATAGTATCTGCCTAAATAAATACATGTAAAAGCAAGCAGAAATGTGTAATGACCTGTGACCTTCTATTCTCAGACAGTCATATAGTCTCCTTTGATACTTTGTTGTGTATTAAACGAGACTAACTATAATTCAAGGGGCTGTTTTTTCAACCATTTCTGTTGTTTAGTTGTTTTGCAAATCTCATATAGGCTACAAACACAACAATCAAGTTTCAGTTTTTTTATTTATCTGTTTTGTTTTGTTGTCCATGTGTTGATTTAAATTAGGTGAAAGTAACAGCTTTACATATATCTCATGTCAACTAGTGCCTCATTTGAGATTACAGTAAATAATTGATATTCTGTCAACATGGAAAGTCTTCTGTGGTTCATGTCAGTCTGAAAGACATATTGATGTGTCCTGCATTTGTGTCTTAACTCAAAACAGAGAATTTGACAGTGTAAAAACACAACAAGCCTATATTCCTATAAAACTGCAGAACTCAAATATTGCATTCAAGGTCAAGGGGATTATTGATGACACTCGCTGTAATAACAAACAGGATTCACTTTGACAGCCATGGTCAAATCAACCCAAGATGACAGTTTCCAGTAATGTAATCTCTCTAACACATTCACGGTTCATTTGTTTTTGTCAGTGAAGCCTGCCATGACAGGGTACGCAGCATGTCCCCTTATTTAAAATCAAATTGCCAACATTGCACTGAAAGGGACATTATCAACTGAATGGCTCTTGACATCTGTCATAAATATTCATAAAACAGTAAACCAAAAGAAATATAGCAGATAGACAGATAGACGGTATTTTAAAACAAACATTCAAACAAGAAAGCGAATCTGAAAAATCCACTATGAAGAACATATTTTGCTCATTTTTGTTATTCCAATTTTGTGTTCAACAGTATCCTGGTGTGCACTAGAATTATACATTGATTTATTTTGGTTTATTGTGGTTTACCCTGCACCAGCTGACATCCAGAGAAGCACTGTTGGAGAGAAGCACTGCTGTGCAAAAGGTAGCTTCAGTTCTGTTGATCCTTCGCCTAAGTATTTGCTGTTTTTACCACACTAGAATGCGTGTTTATAAGGCAACGGACATATTGACGAGACATAAATGAAGGAATCCCATTTTGGATCCACATTAAGCATATAATATATGTGTTGTGGGCTACCTATAGCCTTTGGTAATCAGTATATTTCCAATAAGTTATATACACAGACAGATATGGCAGGAAAAACACAATTGAAACTGTTGAAAGATTTTCAATCATATGACATTCAAACACATATTTTCCCACAAATTCCTCTTTTAACACTAGAACCGCCAACGGGTAAATTTTACCCGCAGCTGTTTTTTTATTGTATGCAACTTTTTTTCAATAAAATATTAACGTCTCCCAGTCCGTGACTTTTCCTGAAAGTGTGTTATGTAACACCCTGTGTTGTTAAAAATTGTCAATATGAAGTCAGATTGAAAAAATTGCCAAAAAAATTGCTATTTATACCTATTTCCGCCAGCGGGTAATATTTACCTCATAGAAATGCAGCGCTCCTCATGCTATTGATTTTGCGGATAAACATGACGTGTTGCTATAGCAACGCCTTTTGTCTACTGCTGTAGATAGAGAGAGAGATTGAGAGATAGATAGATTGAGAGAGAGATAGATAGATATATAGATTAATAGATAGATAGATAGATAGATAGATAGATAGAGAGAGAGAGAGATATATAGATAGCTAGATAGATAGATATAGATAGATAGATAGATAGATAGAGAGAGAGAGAGAGAGAGAGAGATAGATAGATAGATACATGCCATCAATACATGCGGACTTTCGGTGACAGAGCTTTCAGTGTAGCATCCCCCACCCTCTGGAACTCTCTCCCCCCCGAAATCCGCAGCGCCCCAACCTTGGACACTTTCAAAAAAGCCATCAAAACGCACCTTTTCACCAAGGCTTTCCCCACTATATAGTTAGTTTGATAGGTTTATTTTTCCGCTACATGCTTGCCCCCCCCCCCTATCCTGTCTGCCTCTTTTCCCCTACTCCCCCCCCTACCCGACTTGTAAAGCGACCTTGGGTTTTGTGAAAGGCGCTATATAAATATGATGTATTATTATTATTATCAATGCCTGGGTGCTGTACAGGAGCTGCATGAGCCAGGAGAACATACCGAGAAGGGACTTCATTCT